AGGCCCATCTGCTGGTCATAGTGGGCCAAGGCCTTTTGCACTGCAGCTGTGTTTTCTTTTTGAGCCAAGTCCAGGGCTGCATTCTCTATGCAGGGTAGTTCTCCACTGTTGATGGCAGTGATATAGGCATCCACCAGGTCCACTAGACCTGCATATAGAGAGATGATGGTTTTTGTTACAGGTAGAGTGGGAAATAGTCTTCATTGTGTGTAATTCTGAGCAAGTTAGTTATCTCATATTTGTCTCAAAGTATCATTGGTATAGTTAGCAGGGTATTTGGTAATTAGCTAGAAATGCAGCACCCCTGCTTCAGCTCAGAGCTATTGAATTTAACTTTCTTCTTCAGTAAGACCTCCAGCAATATGTATATCTACTAAAGACTGAAATTCCTGGATACATACTTCATAGAACTGTTTATTAAAGCTTTCCGCTCATTTTAACTGCATGCACCATTAGGACTGGAACTCTGTCTCTTTCATTTATATCTGCATCCTCATCTCTGTTAATAGTCAGCATTTGGTCACTGTTTATAGAACAGGAAATGCTATCCTAATCAAAAGCCATTGCCATTTGGCTTATTGAAATCAACAGCATTGTGCCAGTCAGACAGCTCAGCTGACTAAAGCTACTACTTAGGCAAGTGCAGGGACCAGTGTTCAATCCCCAGCGTGCTGTGCCAGTCCCATCCCTGGGTATGCTGAGACTGTGATTGAAACTGGGCCTTCTGGCATGCACCTATAATCGTAGCACTTGAGAGGTGGAAAACAGGAGGATCACTACCAATCTGATCTGTGTAGTAAGACCCTATAGACCCAGTACTAAATGCATAAGAAAAAAAAGAAAGAAAGAAGTGAACAACATTATTCAAAAGAATACAATAGTCATTAGGTACCTGAGAATATGTCCCTTGTAGTATATCTGTGAGATATTTTAAGCTTTTTTCATTTAAATTAATATACCTTTCAATTTAAATAATGAGAATTTTTCCAGAGGCTACCATATTGAAGACTGCTAGTCTAGTTTATGTAAGGAATTCTAAAACAATAGCCATATTTTCCCCTTTGGCTTTTCTGCTCTTTTACCATCAAGAAATATGATTAATGAATTGTACTATAAAAGTTGAGGTCACATAAATTTTAATGGAAGAATAGTACATTTTCAACCCTGGAACAAGAAATTAGATTCATTTCTTTTTCTTTTTCTGAGGCTTATAAATGAGTGAAACTAATGGGAAGGGAACTCACAATGTCCATTGACCTGGATGCCTCCTGATAGAGTTTTAGTTTTGGAAGAGCTGAAGATGTAAGAACAGAATTCTGCAACTTGTTCCATGAATTCAGAGTCCAGCTCATCATCATTAAGTATCTCGAGCTGGGCTAGCCTCTTTTGCTGAATGGGTCTACAAAAGATGAAACATTTCTTTTTGGGGAAGAACCTGCAGATGCAGAGTCGGGGGAGATTATAATATTTAACTTTCTCATCAGTACCTGCAAGATGATAAAAATGGATTTATAACTGTATGAACTTGTAAACATTTTTTAAGGACAATATAGTACATAGTTTTAGCTTTTTAGGATAGCCCTTTTCCTCTGCATTCTACTCATTGACTGTCTGATGCCAGCATCTATAAACAATATACAAATAAATGGGCTCAATGTGCTCCTAATAACATCTCTTACTGTGTTGGCTGCACCAGGCTCTAGAGCCGTGGGGCTGGTTTACTCCCATGGGTCTCTCCTCCTGGACCACACAAAGGATACTGCAGTTGGTCCATGGCCTGCTGGTTGATGGTTCCTATGCTGTTATACACGAAGGAGCTGCTCAGCAGAATCACCATTGTTAAGATCCCGGAGTCCTTCTGATTGTCACCCTGGAAGACAGAACGTATTTGGGCCTCAAGAATGCTTTATTCTTGTGTCAATCTGCAGATCAGCAGGGGCAAAAGGATCATCATTAATCAGAGTTTTGAGAGTACTTATATGGAAACCTAAATTGAAACAAAATTTTTTTACACTTGAGCTTTTTATTTTTTGGTTAATGTTTGATTTATACTATTTTTCTCTAAGTCCTCTTATGAGTAACTGAAGAAACACTCAAGGATCTTAGGTCTTTTGCTTAGACTCACAAAATTTATTTTAAGAAATATAAAATAGTTCTTTGAAGAGAACACTGCACTCTACACACTGCTTTGAACAGATGCATGTGCATGTGGACTCATTACTTTCCTCCCTGTCTGCCCTCCAAAATATTTACAGTGAGCACACAAAGCAAAATTTTCACAATAGATACATGGGTACTTTTTTTTTAAACTAACAACATGAAAAACAATAAAGTGCACTCTGTTGCTTTTTAAACCTCTTCATTATTTTTTTGCACATCCCCCTCCCTGTTTGTAAAGAAATGAAATATTACATCTGGTGAGCAGAAAATATTTCACTACATTTTATATGCAGAGCACTTATGAAGGAGAGGTGTTGGCTTTTTAAACAGAAACATAAAAAAAGATGCAAGCCTCTTTCAGTTCTTCACTAGCCTTAGAAAAACTTTCCAGAATACTACATGACAGTAGAAGAAAGAAAAATATCTTGCATTAGAATCCATCAACATCTGTAGAGGGCTGCACACTGCTCTGCAGCTGATATTGTATCTGGTATTTTGTTCTTATAATGGTAGTGATTTGATCTTCAGATCCTTCTAAGGGCTCATCAATTTTGATAGAAGTTCCCATTTCATGATGGATTTGTATAATCTGCTAACCTCCTTTGCCAACAATAGATCCAGCCAAATCTTTGGGAGTAGTTACTTGTGTAGTGACAATAGGCTTACCAAGATCACTATATAAGCCATGAGCCCCTGCATAGGATAATCATATCCAGAGCCACCCTGTGGTTCATACATCATCTGCCATTCTGATGGCTCCATGCATCTGTTGCGGGGTCCCAAGTTTCATCAGCACTGAAACAAACCACACCATCATAGTGGGCTCCAGGTCTTCCTCTTCTATTAGAGGCCATTAAATCTCTACCTCTAGGTGCTGGTGGTAGAGGAGGAAGATTTTTGAGTCTACTACCACCCTGGCCACCCCGACCAGTAGGAAAGAGTCATGTGGACCCAGTGAGGGACAACGTTATCCTAATCTTTTCTGGAGGGAGGTATGGAACACCTCTGACCAGGAGGCATTATGTCAAATCTAGCTTTTCTCTGAATGGGAAATCCTACAGAGTGTCCACTGCAGTCATCAGACATCATGATAGGGGCCGGGGAGATGGCTCAGTGGAATAAGCGCTTCCTCGGCAAGTGCAAGGGCCTGAGTTCAATCCCCGGTTCTGAAAAGAAAAAAAAAAAAAAAAGCAAAACAAAACAAAACAAAAAAAAATCATGATAAAACTACCATAATTGTAAGTTTCATCATAAAAATTTGGCTCATAAAGTTACACACATCCTTTGATTAGAGACTCAGCTATAAGGTCAAGGGTGATCTTCATGTACTGTACAACCCTGTCAGTCTTTTCTCCAATAAGAACAACTCTGTCAGTGGAATGATAACAGCATTTATAGAAAAAGTTGATGGTTGCCTGAGTATTCGCTCAATCTTATTTAATTTTACTATCTTTGACCACAATAATTTCTCCTGCCAGAATTTGATGAATTAAGTCTCCATTCACAGTCAAAGTCACTTCCTTAATGTGCTGGTAATTTAATCATTCCATAGCATTGGATCCAAGTAGGAGCTGGGTGTTTGCAGTGAGTGATGGCAATTGCACGTCCTCATCCAAGGTAGGAATGATTTTTTTCAGAATTTCTCCAATTATCTCAATACCAGCACTGATAATATACACTCAAGACCACTGCTGTCTGGGACTAAAACATTCACATTACAACTGAACATAAAGACTTAATTTTCTTTCCTCCTTTTCCAATCACTGCCCCAGCATTCTTGCTTTGAAGCATAACTTGTAACTCAACCATCTCTTTGGAGTGTCTAGGTCTTTTCAATGCTTGCTACTTCTACAAACTGAAAAAAAAAAAAAAGAATAAATAGGGACATGAAAAGTCTTGAATTCAAAGTGTTTAGATGCCAATAGAATATTCACCTCTGACAGGACCAAAAAAAAGGATACAAAGGAAAGATCATTTTGTATTTATATATACAAAATAGTTAGGATACATTTATAGCTACTTTCACTTAATTCAATGAGAAGAAAGAGGTGTATTAACAGTGTTTGGACAGTTTGTCCTGTCTCCTTCTTGTACTATGGATAACCACTAAGAAGATAACAATGTACAGTGTATTGACTATCAAAACTGTCCTATTAAACAGCTGTGAAACTGTCTCATTCATATTTATTTCCCAATAAAAAATAAAAATAAAATAAAAAAGTTTGTGTTATAGTACTTAATTTTTCAATTCCTGGGACTGCTAAAGTAAATAAATAAATAAGTAAATAAATAAATATTAACAATACTTGTAGCTTTCACAGCCATTATTATATATCAGAAAGTTTACTTATTTTATATTTTATTAAATATCCAAAACATACTAGGAAAAATATATAAATCTATTTCATGTATTTGACAACCAGAAAGCTGAAGGTTAAAAAAAATATTTGCTAAGTGCACCAATTTAAATTAGAGTTCTAATATAAAGTCAAAGTCATGAGGCTTCAATACCCAACTCCTTAACATTTGCAGTAGGATAAGACTCCTGGACACTTAGTATATTTGTGCTTTCTTTTTCCATATAGGATCACTTGCTTTGTTTGTAAATTGTTGGTGATACAAAGAAGATTGTATTAACTATGTTGATTTCCTGCTAGGGTTCTGTCTTATGAATATTTTTCTAATTTCTGGTTGCTAAATTGAGTGTCTGCAATGTAATAAAAAAATGAAAACATATATTATGTTTAAGAACAGTCTCCTATACAAGTACAAACTGCTGATTTTATCAAATATTCACAGATGAGGAACTAATCCAAAATGGAATTCTCCATCATTCTTACTTTCTCGACATCTCCCAGGCCCTCGGTGTCCAGCAGAACTAGAGTCTGGTTTGGCTTCTTGGGATGAGGCACACACCACATCCAGATTCCTTTGGTGTGAGACTGCACTGTGGAGCCCACAAAGAATCCTGAAAAGCATAAAGAAGATGAGATGAGTAATAAGTGGCAAATGTTCCTGAAACGGAGATAAATATATAATAAATATGAGGTGAGAGAACGAAAACCACAGCCAGTATTGAGCTTACTTAGTATGAGGCGAACAGTGAAGATTATGTTATCTGATGCAAGGAAAATACTGAGCAGTTTCATGATAAGAAAAACATTCATCATGTCAACATACTGGTATGAACCTTTAATACCAGTTGCAGAGGAGGCTGAGGCAGGAGAGTTACCACTTTAAGGCCATCCTGGTCAACTAGTAAGAGTCTGTCTCAAAATAAAATTTTAAAAAGTATTGGATATGTAGCTTAGTGGTACAGCTCTTTGCAAGCATGCTTGAGATTCTAGGTTTAATCTTCACTATTGAACAACTATAACAACAACAAGCCTGATGATGCAGGATGTAGCTTAGTCCTGGCAGGGTTCTATCCCCAGTACTGCAAAGCATTCAAGAAACTTAGAATAAAAGCAAACCACCCTGCACAAATATAGAATTTATTTAGTGATGAAAACTTGTCATAATAGGAAGAGCTGATGAGATGTTCTCATCTTCTAGAACAGAGTGAAGATAAAAAGTGGCAGATTAGCTCACAATTTTCCTTTGACTCTTCCCCCCTCCCCATGCAGGATGCAGGGAGAGGGTATGGTCAGGGCTCTACAGAGCCCTGCTGGCAGCACTCACCCTTTTTCTTTCCAGCCAGCTTGTTCATCAGGTAGGATTTGCCTGTGCGGTACAGGCCCACAATAGCCACGACCACGACGGGCTGGGAGATGGCAGACAGGATCTCCAGAGCTTCCTGATTCACCTTCAGCTGCCCATTAGAGTACTCAATGAGACAGTTGGGGTTTGGCATGTGGGTCTCGGAGGCCATGTCCAGCCTGTGCTCTGGTCTGCAAGGGCCGGGTTGGAAAGAGGTGGAAACTTGCAATGCTAATGCTGAGAAACTGGATTGATGAAATTCCCCAGCATGAACAACCAAGTACTGTGTGCATCAATAAGATGCATGAGGCAAAACTCAAATCATCTGAAAAGGTTGTGAAAATATTATCCAAGTAGTTAGGATAATAAAAGTTGTAGTATGGCCAGGGAGACAGTTCAAAATGTGAAGCAATTACCTGGTAAGCGCAGGGGCCTGGATTCTATCCCTAGCACCAAATGCCATGCTGGCCCTGCCCTGGGTGTGCCATGCTGGCCACTGAGACCCAGTGCAGTGGCACAGGCCGGTAATCCCATTGGGGAGGCTGAAACAGGAGGACCACTATGAGTCCAACCTGCATACTAAGATCTTGTACCAAATATATAAATTTTAAAAAATGTGACAGATAATTTAAAGTTAGCATTCAACTGCTTCCACAAACTAAATCTTCAACAATTTCATTTATTGTAGTCATATTTCATTTTGAATTCAGACAATAATTCAGAATTATTCACAGGGATAAGAAATGGAACACACAATAGGATTTTAAGAATCTATTTTTCCTCCTGGGTATATGTAATACATTAAATATTTATGAGTTCACTAATTTTTATAAAAAATAAAGCCCTCCCTGAATAGATGGTTCATGGCTTGATGTATGCCTTTGCACAATTTTCAGAGATATTGTTTTTGGTTTAGTTTTTTTTCCTCTCATAATTTTATTGATAAACAAATAGTAATGAGACAGTTTCAAATCAAATTGGTAGAACAGTTCCAATAATTAACACACTGCATACATTCTTCTTAGTGGTTAATTGCTGTACAAGATATGGACTTGAAATCCTATTTACAAACACCATTAGAACAAATCATTCTATTCATCAAGAGAATGTAACTATATATCTATCCTAACCATTTTGAATACACAGATACAAAATGGACATTCATCTGTATCCCCTTTTTTGTTAAGTTCCGTTATTTGAATATTATAGGTGTGTTAACTCAGCAAAATATTCTAAAAGAGTCCAGTAGCCCATAATAGTATTGAGTCTTCAATTTTCAGAGATTTTAAAATGTGATCCTCCTTCTACCCCTAGGGGATGTGCTCATTTCGCTGAAATAGGACACACAGCGTTTCTCACCCTGCCTTCCCAGAAGGAAAAGGAACATGCTGCTTCTGCAAATTGTATGAAAACAGCTGACCACGCGGGCACATAAGAAGAGACATTGCCAAGATTTAGATGGGTGCAGGCACGGGTGACGCCTGACCTTGGGCTTCCTGAGTTTCACAGTGAGAGTCAATTTAGTGATGTGTGAACAAGCAATCACAGATACTGGATTTTGATAAAAATTTCTACAAAATGAGGTTTATGAAATCAGAAAAGAGACAGAGAGGACTAGAAAGAGTTTTCCTAAGATGTTTCAGCAAAGTGTTCTGCTTGTTTTCCTTTGTTAGAAGAGAGGAAGGAAGAATATGAAGGGAGGAAGAAAGAGAGTGGAGGAAGCAGGAGTGAGGAGTTGGCAGGGAGAGGTGGCCACAGACAAGAAGCTCTGAAGGGAGATGAGGGTCTCCCAAGGAAGTCAGGGCAAGAGCTCCCTGAAGGCAGGAAGATAAGGCTGAGGTCGGGAGACTGTTGGAAACAGGCACTTCTCTGAGGGCTGCACTGTGAGGCTCTTCTAGAGGAAACCCTTCAGTGAAGTACAGTGTCTGGGATCTACTGGTGCAGACTAAGGAGTTGGCCCTGAGAAAGCACTGCATTTGCACCAATACTAAATGAAAACCAGGGGGCAATGCAGTTTGATGCCTGATCATGAAGCAGGCTGCTTTTGTGATCTCCCTCTTTCATTATGAGTATTTTTCTTGCTTTGCCTTTGAAGACAATGGATGCTCAACTGCATCTCATTTTTGTGCTTTCCTTCTGCAAACCTGCAACCCTGTGGTCACCTTGTTACCTCCATAGTGCTTCAGGAGCAGTTTTGAGCGAGCCCATCAGGACCACAGGAGCTTGTGCTCCCAGTCCACACAAAGCCAGTGGACAGAAAGAGGCTCAGTTCATTCCCCTGTCTGCAAGTGTGCTCAACACAAGCCCAGTGATGGTTCAGGGGACCTGATGCTATGATTAAATCTGGATTTTATTTGACCCCTATCCCATGTAAGGCTCAGCTCCAACCTTGCACAGTGCTGATAGTTTTTAAGAAAAATAACTAGCCCTCAGAAGTCCCTTGCTGTTCCTGGATCAGAATTAGAAGCTGCGAACCCCTGAGCAGAGATTCTTCAGAGCTGGAGAGGCTGTCAGAAGGGAAGGCAGGGTCTTATCTGATCTCCTCAGCGTAAATGGCTTGTTCTTGCTTCTCTGTCTCTGGCTGTATCTTTGGGCTTTTATGTCACTCTTTTACATTGACTGACTTCTGTGTTTGACTGAGTGCACAAATAATGAGACAGCATTATTTTTTTATGGGTTTAGAGGAGTATGAAATTGATAATACTTAGTTCAGGGCAAAGGATCAACAATCATGAAAAGCATTTTTTAGCTGTGTCAGTGGGAAGGTTTAAGAAGACTTATCAAGGCCGGCCAGATAGCTCAGTGGACTAAAGCACCTGCTTTGACAAAGCTCAGGGGCCAGGCTTTGATCCCTGGCTTGTGGTGCAGGTCCCACCCCCAGAATACACTGAGATGGTGAATGAAACTGGGCATGGTGGTGCACACCTGTAATTCCAGAGTTTGGGAAAAACAGACTTATACAATTTCTTCAAGTGTTTTGTTGGAAGAATTCCTAGAATCATTTGCTGTTTCTGAAAATATTTTATGTACTGTTTTATAATCTAAAGTACTTGACATTTACTTTTTCAGTAATCAAACTCCCCATCCCCCAATACATCTTTGTGGACACTGTCTTTCTGCCAGAAATGAAAACTTTGAAAAACACTCAATTGTGCCACTGTCTCTTGCTTATCAATGAGGAGCTGGCTAAAAGTCCCCAGTAATATCCATTCCACAACCTGCCTGCTGCACATCCTTGAAATTTCCTCCTCCAGATGAATTTCACCACCACCCATATTCTTCTCATGTAGTCTCAGGACATGAACAAAGTAGAGACAAGTTTTCTGCCAGAGCATAATGACCAGGGCCTGAAGGCTCATTGAGAATGGCATCATCTCTCTTGTACTACTATGTATTGATTTTATAATTCTCTTTCCAGTGTTAAATCTTGACTACTTTTAAGTTCACATCATATCTGTTATTTGGTAGGGATTTGTGGGGAGACACTGGCAAGGGAGAGATGGAGCTTGAGTGTGATGAAGAAGGGACCTTGGAGAACAACTCCTGTGCTCCTGGAGTGCGTGGCTTGAGTGTAGAGCAGAAGCTACAGGGCATCAATCAGCAGAAGTAAGAGCAAGTTATAGTCCATGATGCTTGCTTTGGCCTTTGCATACCCTCTGCCCTGATAAGATTGTCTTAGGTGACCTGAGTCACATAGCAAATGCTATCCAGCCTTGTCCCTTGACAGAAACTCTGATGTAATAGGCTGCAAAATGCTTTTCTTCTGCCTCTTGTCATCACATCCTTGAGTTACAAAAGAGTAGCAGCAAAGCTCTCGGTTGCTGTTTTCCTGAGGCTCTCTTATGCCCAAGATGTAGCTAAATCTCTTCCGAGTCACCTGTTGCATCCTCTGCACGTGCATAGCTGCCTATGTGACAGGAACGCAAATTCATTTTTGCAATACAATTATTATTGCATCACAAAAAGTACATCTTTTTTTCTCTAATTTGTAGTAGAACTTACATCTGAAAGGGGTAATTAATAGTATCAGACTCTTTGTTTCTATATCAGGTACCAATTTTAACCATAATTCAACCCAAAAGAATTATGGGTTGCTTTGATTGGAATTAAATGAAAATGACCTTCAGTCTTTGATTCTTGCTTCTTCTGAGATACCAAGACTAAGAGGTATTACTGATACAGCCTGATTCCCAGGAATGTATGTCAGAAGGATAAATAAACTTACATGTAGGCAGTTGGTGGTATATTTAAAACATAGACTAAGGCTTTTTGTATAATCAGCATTTAAAATCAAAGCTCAGTGATGTAAGAATACGCTTATGACTGTAAAAATAATAGCATGTACACTGGCATTCCTGGTTTGCACAGCTCTTTCAGGCATAATTACAAAGAGAAGCTCCCAACTCAGAGGTGCTGTGCTCTGTGACCTACCTTATTTAATGTGAGGCTTACAAGTCTATCTGACATGTTTGTGTTTAAAGTTTTAATCCTGGAACAAGAAACTAAATGCAATTTTCTTAGATTGCTTATCTATAGTTATTTAAGCATTCATTTTCCTCAATTGAGATGGAAATCTTGAATTGGCCAAGTGCAGCTTCGCTAGTGGTGCTGATGGCATCAGATGACACTGGATAATACTGCATGCCAACAGTAGATGCAGCTGGATACTGGTCACTGCTGCTTCAGGCAGGCCACCTATGAATGAGTGCGCTTGTTGCTGATTCTTGTGGTTAATCTTCAGTTGCTCATTTTTGGAGCTTTCTGGGGCTAACAGTCCCAGTGTTTTTTTGCTCTGCCATTTCAGATGTCCATACTACTCAGGATTTCAGGATCTTCAGAACCTACACTCCCTGGGAAATGAATCACAAGAGGTTCCCAAACCAATAGAGTATTTTAACAGACCATGTGCTGTATGCAGCACAGGGAATGTCAGCACCCTGAAGAGATCCCTCCAGCAACCCTAAAATGTGTGAATGGAGTGCTGCTTGTAAGACAACTGCAGGCCTTGCTTGGCTCAACTGTGGGGCTGTGATTTCTTTACCTTTGAGCCTTATAATTAGTATAATTGCAAATCTGTGATTTGTCAAAGTGGTGCTGAGCTCCAGGACTCTTGAAGCTATTGTGAGCCATTCAGAGAAGGGCCGGGTGAAGTGTGATGCTTGATGAACAACT